ACCGTCACAGGTCCATGACGAGCGTCATGGAATTAAAATGCAGATTCTCTGCATGTGCTGTGAAGTGCTTGAAAATTCCCAAGAGGAGTGGACCACTAACTCCTATATTTCCTGATATGAATCCCACTTCCTGAGAAAAGAAACCGTTAGAAATCTCCTCTATAAAAGAGAGGGAGCTGGTACCAGAAAAGGGGAGCTGCATTGAAGAGACGAAGTGTTTCCAATTTACTTTCAGAGCAATTTTCAGTTTCTCATTTTCTTATCGTTATTCAGTTTCCTTTCTCTTTCTTTCCTTGCAATTGTTGTTTTACTTCCCAAACTTTATTTTGTACGAGTAATTGGCATAAAGACTGAATCCTGCCGTCATATCAGAGGATTTCCCAAAAGCCAATCGAATTGTTTACAGGTTCTTATTTTAATCGTTAATTGATTTCTATTTCTCATTATAATGCATATTATTATTTTCTGCCATTATTTACGTGTTGTTGATTTATATTCCATGTCCGGCTAAATCTTAAGTAATCGGTATGTAATAAGTAATCAGATGGGATTCGATAATTAACCGGTGTATACCTTCCTTTTCAAAATTTACTTATGGCTTCAGTTTTTAAATCGATTTTTCTAAAATAAACGTTCGTCGTGACAGCGAGAACTTATTTAAAAGCATTTTTGCCACGACAGTGGGAAATTCATAAAGGTACGAACCAACAAGCGACAACTGAGGTTAAGTCCAGATAGTAAAAACTAAGCATTCATTTTAAAAACAGCGACAACGCTTTAAAAGGAATTAGAACTTAATAGTTTTCAAAAAGTAACTTTAACCCCGAATGGGATAGCGACAGCGTACGTTCCGCCTTAGAGTTGCGACTAGCGTCAACAACCATCGTGAGACAAAGGTCTTTAAACCGTCATTTTCTTCTTAAACTATTTTTAAAAACCTAAAGACACTGGTGGCCTGTAGAATCCCTGAAGAGCTAACATATTACATACCAATTCAAGCATTTATACCTTAATTAACGTTTTAGTTCCCTTACAATTTACGCACTTATTTTGCTTTTATTCCCCTAAAACATTACCAACCTAGCTAAACACAGTAACACTCGAAAATACTAGTTTGATTACGAGTCCCTGTAGGATTGATATCTATTATTACTACGCGATAGACTGTGCACTTGTAGTTAATTGAGTTAGACATATAAAGTCGCGATCACTGCCTTTCATCACTTAGAAGCACTTAGGAAAGTAAAAATCCAAGAATCATCAAAAACCGGAAAAAGTGTCTAAGAACCTAATTCACCCCCCCTCTTAGGCATTCATATAACTCACATCTGATATGTTGATATGTGATGCTTTTCTGTGTTGACATGTTGTTTGCTGTACAGTACTGATATGTTGATTTGTCAATTGGTCAACAATTTTGTCTAACTTGAGAGTTTGTAATGATTTTAAGAACCTTTTTGTTGCTGCAAGCTTGTAGCTTTGCATTTCATAGAGTTCTGGTCGCCAATAATGGTAAGTTTGTTAAAATGGTAACCTTTTAATTGCTTCATGGAATGACCCAACGTATGTTATACTAGGTCTCATTTTAAAACAGACACACACTGTGATTTGCAAGTCAACAGTATGTGTGAGGCTTTTAATCGTGCAATCTTGGAGTATAGAGATAAGCTGATCATTTCACTACTTGAAGGAATCAAACATTACATATCAGTGAGAATACCTGCTCAAAAGGAGAAATTAAGTAGGTACACAGGTGTTACAATTCCTAGCATTCAAAAAGTCTTGGAAAAAACAAAGAGGGCAGCAGAAGGATGGATTGCAACATGGCATGTAGATGATGACTTTGCTATATTCGGAGTTTCAAACGGTGTTGAGACATATGCTGTGAACTTGCTTCAACAGAAATATGGTTGTAGGAAGTGGGATTTAAGTGGAATACCATGTTGTCATGCTATTGCATGCATATGGTATAACAAGAAGGAGCCCGAAGATTACGTTTCATCATTCTATAGGTATCACCTACTCGTATATTATATTCATTTACATTCATCTTTTTTGTACGTTTACTAAAATCATTGTGTCATATTGTCTAGGAAATCTACTATTCTGGCTACTTATAAGCATATCATCATGCCAACCAATGACCCACAACTATGGCCTGTTAATGTTGCTAACCCAATCAGCCCTCTAGTCATGCGAAGATCTATTGGTCGTCCTAAGAAGAATCGTAACAAGGTGAATGATGAACCGAGGATAAGAAATACACTGCCTATAACTCTTCAAACTGTCAAGTGCAAGAAATGTGGGAGTTTTGGCCATAACAAACGAACGTGTAAAGGGAAGCGAGCCGCGGAGAGAGCGATTCCTAAAGGTGGCAACAAAAAATCTTAAAAAAAGCGTGACAAGTCAGGCAAGGAAGCGGGACAAACTGTTATAGACGGAGGGTCACAAGCACTGCCACCAACCCAAGAATAGTTCTATGTTTTGCTTTACTTTTTGTGATGCTGCTATAGCATATGTTATGACCAAAAAACTCAATGTCTTTTTGTTAAAATATGTTGTCTTTAATGTTGTCGTCAATGTAATGATACATCAGTCTTGATACATCAGCCTTCAATGTTATGTTATGTAGTGCTGTTATATAATGTTGTTGTTTGATACATCAGTCTACCAACAGGTTTTTTATCCATTAATTCCTTAGTAGGTTTTTCTGCTGCAAGAGCCAAAGCACCTAATGTATCCATAATCAAATTAACCCATAATAATTGAATTGTTGTTACAAATTTGATAACAAGTGCAGCTACATTCACTGTTAATTGAAAATGAATGAATTTTTGAATGTTGTTGTAAAGCATAAAAAAACAATACAGTATGTAGTAATATGTACCAATATTTTCAGAACAGTTAAAAGCATAATTCTAATCATATATATCATCATTTTCAGAACATGAACTTCCACCAGAGTTAGCTTCCAATGTGTTGATTTGTTAGAATGAGTTGACTTCCAATGAGTTAACTTCCACTAAAGTAATCAGGACTTAAGGGTTCATCTTCATATTCTTCACTTTCAATGTGTTGATTTGTTAGAATGATAAAATGTTGTAGATACAGCTATTGAATTTTGAATTGTAGATGATGATCATCAATTCCAAGCTTATTCAACAAATTAATACCCAAAGATTGAATAACACCAACTTTCAGTCTTTTAATTTGAGGTGAAATTGATCTAGTTAGCTGAGTATGATTATTCTGATGCAAACATGTTATTAAAGTGTAGCAAGTATGAGTGCTTTAAACTGCAAAATGTTAGATTATGTATTTTTTCAACTGCCACCAAGTTTTATAGCTCAACACTAACATACTTTAATAACTACCTGTGTTATTTTTTGTGTAAAATAACATGAAGTACTTTCAATATGCATAGAGGAGTCATAACATTACAAAATCGATCATAGCATCTCCACGAACAGATGGTTCAACAACTTGATGGTTCATAAAATCTGTTTCAAACTGTTTCAACACAAATCTGTTCCCATAACATTACACAATCTATTCTCATAACATTACACAATTTGTTCCCAACACAAATCTGTTTCAAACTGTTTGCACATAAAATCTGTTTCCAATTTATAATTTGTTTCAAACTGTTTGCACATAAAATATGTTTCAAACTGTTTGCACATAATACAAGGTTATGCTCCATAAACATCATTTGAAGACAATCGAAGTAACTACAACATAACTCTTGATTAATACAGACAATCATAAATCTTCATTTGAAATTAGTTCATTCGGAAACTACATAAACATCAAAGTAACTACAACATTTGATATTACATCAATTGAGTACATGTGTTGCAACTAATGCAAACACAACCAAAAAGACAAACATCAAAGATAACCCCACAAAATAATACATAAACCTAATTTTCATCTTCAACAAATCTTCATTTTTCTTGATGTCCTTAATCACATCCATGAGCTCCGCATTCTTGTCTTTCAAAGATCTTATCACATCTTTAGCACGACTGCTCATGTCTTCATCAACCCACTGAAAGTAATTACATCCTTTTTTCCTCATCACCTTAAAATTACCACACCCATGAAATCTTCTCCCGGGATTATCGTATGTCCATGACGTCATCAACAGCGACTCAAGCTCACACCAACATCTATTACCTCTTCTTCTTATACCAGACCCAAACTAGTTTGTTGAGGAAAAAGAAAAATTTGTTTCTGACATGTTGGTAAATAGGAGGGCTGGTATGGGTTTGTTGAGGAAATGAGGACTGGGTTTGAAGAAATGACTACAGAAATGGCTGAAGAAATGAGTTGTTCTTCGTGAAAAATAGGGGTTGATGAATTGTTGAAGAAATGGGTTGAAGATGAAAGACTTGGGGTTTTTTATTTAAGTTTTATTTTATTAAATTTGTGAAAATAAAATAATATTTAAGTTAATGACATAGAAATTATATTAAAATTAAAAAGACAATTTGCAACATCAGCATTTAACGCGCCACCTCATTAAAAACATGATTTAAAATGACAAAGGGACTAATATTAATCTTGAAGCTTAAAAAAAAAAGACCAAAATCGTAATTTTTAAAATAGGAGTATCAAAACTAAAAAAACACAAAATAGGGAGACCAAAGTTGCAATTAAGCCAATAGAATTTTGTCAAAAGATAATACTAACCAAATTTATTTATGAAACAATTGTAGCCAATAACGTGATAATGATTACAATTTTAATTTTTCCACATTCCTTTGTATTTTATTTTCCATTTATACCCTAAATAAAAAAATAAAAAAAACACAAACACAGTCGTTTCATAACCAAGACTTGTTTCTTTTTTCATTTCACTATTTAACTCAGAAACCAAAACCAAAGCAAAAACTATAGCTCTTCGTAACGCTCACAATCACAGAGAGAAAAACTCAATTCAAACCTTCTCTCTCTAGATTCTTTCTCTCTCTAGATTCTTTCTCCTTCATCTTTCAATGGCAGGTGCGATGAAAAAAGTAGACAAGATTCGTCAAATCGTTCGCTTGAAACAGCTCATGACACGGTGGAAACAACTCAGTCTCCGTCGTCATTCGCTCCGTCCAGAGCCTGAAGAGCCCTGCGTCACTCCTCGAAGACAACCACCTTCAGGCTTCCTCTTCGTCTACGTCGGATCGGAACGACGCCGCTTCGCCATCCCCGCTCGGTTTCTCAACTTCCCAGTTTTCGCCGGTCTTCTCGATGCAACGGAGGAGGAGTTCGGTCTACGAGGTAACGGCGGTTTGGTTCTTCCGTGCCAGGTGGAGTTTTTCACGGAAATCGTTAAGCGGCTTCATAGGAACGAACAGAAGTATGGGAAACTAACTCTGGAAGAGTTTGTTACGATGTTTGCTGACGTGGCGGTTGAAGGTTGTAAGGAAATGGAAAACGTCGTCGTTTTGAGTCCGTTGTTGCAGAACGCTTTGGTTTAGAATCTGGATTTGTAAATGAAGATGGGAAGTAGAAAACGTCGTCGTTTTGAGTCCTTTCTTTTTAGGTTTTTTTTTAATTAGTTTTTGGTTCTAATCGTCCTTGAATCCATTTACTACAAATTTAAGTAATGGATTTGAATGAGATGTTGAACTTTTTCTTAGGTTTAGATTTTGGTGGGTTGGGTTATCTTTTACTATTTGTTTTTATTTGATATCCAATCTTATTATTAAAAATGATCGAATTTTTATGATCAATGAGAAATTGTGTTAGTGTTGCTACAGATCTGTGTTTTTGTTAATTACTAATTAATTATTATCTGTCATTGCTAGCATAATTTTTTTTTAAAGAGGTTCAAATTCAAATTATTTCATTCATAATCAATTAATAGTATAATAAATTTGAGGGATTATTATAATATTAGGTTTAACTTCTTTTGAATTCAAAATCCAATAGTTGTTTGTGTGTAGTTTTTATTTGTAGATGAATCACAATATATATTTTAATAAGTTTAAAAATAAAATCTTTTGCTATAATATTGTTCTGAGAGAGTATGAAAAATATGACTATTGAGATTTTAAATTCTTGACTTGTCAAAGTCAGCATGTCAACCAGTTGATCGAGGGTAGGGATTATTAAATGTAGGATTTTTAATAACAATAATTATATATATTTTACGAGTTTTATTTAAAAAATATTTAATTATATGTAACAAAAAATATTCAAAAGTATCAAACAAAATATGAGGCTTTATTTTAGTTTATAGGAGACTTTTTTATATATATATTTTTTATATTTTATAAAAGAAACTTTGGAGTTTATTATGAAGTCTATGTAGGCTTCACTCCTTACTCCTAAATATGGGTTGACATATTTATTATATTTATAAATCAAATTTGTGATCATCCATTCCTATTTGTATTGGAATTTTCATCATTTTAATTATTATTTTTAATTTAATAAAGTATATACACCTATTTGAAATTTTAATTTTCTTTTTTAGCATGCACTACATTTATGTACCATCCAGCTCGATTCAATTTATTATAACTGTTACTTGTTTTAGTGAGCAATCCAATTTAATAAAAAAATTAACTCTTAAATTTTGTTTGGAAATTTGGAGGGAGAGGAGGAAAAGCTTTCAAAAACTTTTTTTTTTAAATATAGAAAAATTTTTAATTTAAAAAAAAAATTTGTATAGAATAATAAAAGAGTTTTTATCATTCATATATTTTTAATTTTCAAATTATTAGATATTTTTAAAAAATTTATATAAGCATTCTAAAACCTTCATTGAATATAAATTTTGAATTCCTCTAAAATTAGGGAGATTTTGATGTTATGAATAAAAAATAAACTCAAACAATTAAAAATCTTTAATTTTTTCCACTCAATCATCCTTCTCTTTTTTCGAAATCATCCCCTCCCTTCTTCTCCAAACTCCCAAACATTAATTAAACTAACTTTGACTACATGTTTACTTGTATTATAAGTAAACCATTCAGAGAGTTGCTAAACCTCTCTAAATACAAGTTAGGTTTACATAAATTATAGAGAGTTTATGCTTGTAATCAATTACTCATTTCTTGCACTACTAATTCCATAATTTAATTCTTCTCGAATCTTCTTTTATCTTAGTTTTTTTGTTTGCAAAAATTTAATTCAAGTTAGCTTTAAAAACAATAGTTGGTATCTAAGAGCTTTATACGATTCAATTGAGTCTTGATCTTTTAAGAAGTGAGACAGGTCCGGTGAGAAATCATGGTTAGAAGTGATCTTTTAAAAATGATACGGATATTCTATTAGAAAAACATGAAGGTAATCCAAAGGTCAATAAAGCGCACCATCGGCCCATAAGAAGACATAATGAGTTAAAGGAGATGAAAAATGATGAAAATATAGATGTTTATTTCACAAGGTTGATGATTATCACCAATCAAATGAAGAACTATAGAAATGTCATGATAAATGAGTTGGTTACTAGAAGGGTGTTGAGAATTCTAACCATAAATTTTGATCACATAATCGTGACAATTGAAAAAACAAAATAACTTAATAAAGTCAAGATTGAAGATTTGCAAAATACACTTGAAACTTATGAGCTAAAGGCCAATGAAAGAAACAATGGAAAAGAAGAAGAGCAAGAATTTCTTAATAGATTCAAGAAGAATTAAGTTATTAAGAAGAAATAAAAAAAAAAGTATAAAGAATAAAATAACTGAAAATGGAAAGTCAAGCAAAGGGACAGTGGAATGAGAACAATCAAATCAAGAATATTTTTTTTGACAAAAAGAAGGTTCAATGTTATGATTGTGACAAACTTGAACACTATATTGATGAGTAATGGTCGGAAAAAAGAAAAGAAGACTCGCAACATTAAATAACACACAAATGTGGAATATAAAAGCTTGATTTTTGAATTTGAACCATTAATGTTGATGGAAAAACAACTAAAGATGTAATGGATCTATTACTTAGAACTTTGACATAAGGTGCTCATATCATATAATAAGCAACAAGAAGCTACTCATTAAATTTGATCATAAAAAAAGAACTAAGGTGAAGTTGGCTAACAAAAACTCAATGAAAGAAGGAGGCATAATGAATGTCTTTTTGCATTTGCAATATTGTAAGAAGGAAATGATAGAGAAGTTGTTGTATGTTCATAATTTGAAGTACAACTTGATGAGTGTTGGTCAATTGCGGGTTCTTATACAACATCCTTAGTAGGAAGACGTCTAATATCAACCTTCACTAATAAATTTTCAATAATATCAATTGAAGTATTAAATTTGGTTCATTCATATATTTAGGGCCTCTTTGAAGTGTTATCTTTGGTTGGCAAGAAATATTTCATCATTTTTGTAGATGAATTTTGTAAAATGTTGTGGTTATATGTGAATCAGGCTAAGAGTGATGCATTAGAAGTGTTTTCTAGAGTGATTCAAGATCCTTGTAGATGGTTTTTTTAGAGTGATTCAAGAGCCTAGTAGATAAATAAAATTGCAAGATGTTGAAGATCTTAAGAATAGATAGAATAGAATAATATGCTTTCATAGAGTTAGCAACATATTACAACCAACAAAGTATTATACATGAAGTTACAACATCATGCATGTTGTCAATCGGATACCTTTAAACAAAGTATAAACAGTTTCTTAATAATCAAGAAACTCACAAGGGTTAGGGTTAATAAAGAAGAAAACAACAAGGATTGGTTATTAAACTGCTATTCTTTCCTTTTTCTTAGAACAAGATTACAAGTATACAAGAATAACAAAATAACCTCTCTCTCTTGAAATTAGGATTTTATCTTCCTCTTTTTCCTTATGCCAAGATTGAGAAACTAGCATCCTATTTATAATAAAATAGCACACTAATCTAATGGGCTTTTTAACAATTACCCATTACAAGCTAACTTAGGGTACAAGCTAACTTAAACAATTAGGCTTACAAGCAAAGCCCAATTCAACATGCTAACAACCCTAGCAATATTTACTAATGCATGTTAGAACAAACTTCGACTACAACACGCATTACTCGCGAACAGACTTCGACTATACTAGAGTTCAATCCAACATCTCACAAATATCCACCTTGGATCTAACTCTATAACATCAAGAAACTAGCTTTCTTCATGCAGCTTTATTAACTGCATACAGTGGAAAAACTTGCAACTGGGCAACGTCTTTTCTTTTTCTGTTAACGCAGCGTCCATGGCTGCCTCACCCTTCAACGCTTCCAAACAACCCTGCTGAACCAACAAAGCTTTCATCTTCAAGCGCCACAGACCGAAGTCGTTCACTCCAGTGAACTTTTCAATCTCATACTTTGTTGAAGGCATCTTTTCCACGCTCACCGCACCAATTTGTTCTAAATCAGATATCTTTAAACAAAGTATAAACGGTTTCTTATCAATTAAGAAACACACAAGGGTTAGGGTTAATAAAGAAGAAAACAACAAGGATTGGTTATTAAACTGCTATTCTTTCCTTTCTCTTAGAACAAGATTACAAGTATACAAGAATAATAAGATAACCTCTCTCTCTTGAAATTAGGATTTTATCTCCCTCTTTTTCCTTATGCCAAGATTGAGAAACTAGCATCCTATTTATAATAAAATAGCACACTAACCTAATGGGCTTTTTAACAATTACCCATTAGAAGCTAACTTAGGGTACAAGCTAACTTAAACAATTGGGCTTACAAGCAAAGCCCAATTCAACATGCTAACAACCCTAGCAATATTTACTAATGCATGTTAGAACAAACTTCGACTACAACACGCATTACTCGCGAACAGACTTCGACCATACTAGATTTCGATCCAACATCTCACAATGCACTATGTAACATAATGTCCTAGTTGAACAAAGAAATATAATTTGTCTAAACATGAAAATAATCATACTAAAGATGAAAAGACCAGTTCACAATTTATTAGGAGAAATAATGACTACAATTACTTACATTTTAAATAGTTATCCTAAAAAGTCACTAAAGGAGAAAATGTCTAATAAATTTATAGAATGACATATCTGACAATCTTACTTACTTTCTTATAATGAAATTTCTAAAATTCTCAAAGGGTCTAATACTCAATCAGATTAGTTATGCAATTGATATATTGAGGAAAAATTTTGCAGTAACATTTGTTGAAGTATGACAAATAATCATAAAAGGTGAAGATGATGAAGTTGTGGATTCTAAAATTATTAGGTAATTGATTGACTCAATAAAATACTTGTGTTAAAGCAAGCTTGATACCTACTTCCCTCTTGGAGTAGTGAAAAAAATATATGAGCGCATCGTTGAAGTTTCATTTTCTGACTATAAAATGTTTGTTGAGATACACTAATGGTGTTATCTTTTATGAAAATTTGTTTCTTGAATCTTCGATGCTTAACAAACTCAATTTAGAAGGTTTTTCAAATATTGACTGGTGTGGTAACAATGTGGATGGAAGGAGCACAATGGACTATCTATTCAAGTTTTAAGGATC